CAATGAAATTGTCACTTTGCAAATTATAGTTTATGATTATATTTTAGATATCTGGAAAAAAGAAGACATCAGTTTAAATGGATGTCAAGAGGATATAGCTTAATGAATCCTACTTGCTATAAACATAATAGTAGAATAGGCTGGGCTCTCTAGCCTTGGATGGTAGCCAGTCTAGGAAAACATCAGAATGAGTTTTCCTCTTTGGTACCTTGACTTCATGAATTTAAGCATAGCACAAGAATGGCAGCTAGGTCTCATTATTTTTCTGTTGAAATTTCTAAGTAACTCTAAATTCTATTCTAATAGTTTCTTCTCTCACACTTAGAACATGTTTCTAGCTTTTTGTTTTCCTGTTAGCTACAATCTATGAAAATCTAAATGTGTAAATTGGCACCTTCTGTTTTCTTGAATCCCTTTTTTTTTTCTCCTCAGTAACATTTTCTCAGTTTTCTTCACTATTGCCTTCCATCCTCAGTAAACCATTGCATCTTAGTGGCTTTATCACCTTGCTTGGGATGAGACGATTACAAAAATAAAAAAAGAAGCAAAATTCTGAATTCAAAAACCAGCTTGAAGAGGAATGGGCTCTGTCAGGTTATCACTATTGTTGCTATGGCTGTAACACATGTGATACCCTGCATGATCATGAGGCTCATTAAGGTCACAGGGGCGCCACATATACTGCCGGCACAGTAGCACTAGTGTTTCTTGGGCAAGATAACCTGAAGGAGCCCAATTCTCTCCAGGCTGATTTTTAAATTTAGTGTTTTCTTTCTCTTAGATTAATTGCCAACAAAGAGTATAGAACCTAGTCTGTCATTCTATTTATCTATAGCTGGGGGAGAGGAGATGGATTCATACCTTTCGTAAGGGTATTAGCACAATGATATACAGGCGCACCTCTAAAAATCTTGACAGAGTTTGACAGCAGACCTCTCTTCCAATCTAATACTAACTTCCCAGTGGGGGGAAAAAACTGGTTTAAAATGCCTCTAAATTCAAACTAGTTACATTCCATCACTGCTGATCAAACCCTGAACTACTGCCAGTTGAACAGACATCCTCTCAAAGAGGCACCATGCCTTGAGAGGATATTGGGCCTCAAACTCACACCCAACCTCAAGTGAAATTCCTATATATGACCCATCATTAAAGATGCATGTAAAATGATAGGGTCTTACTGGAGCAGTACAAGGAACCAAACTCCTCATTCTATCCTCTACATTTATAAGAGCCAAATCAGGCCAAAGATGGAGTACTGTTGCCATATTTGGGTAGGAGCTGCCCAGACCTCTCTTTATAGTCTTCAGAGTTCAAAAGAATCTACAAGTTCTTTTTGGAGAAGAATTATTTTCCAAACTACAACCTCTTTCTCACCAATGGGATATGGTGAATCTCTCACTGCTCTATCTCTGCTACCATGGAAAGTGCTCAGACAAACTGCATCTCCTGGTTCCACCAGGTCTGACATTCACGTCTACAACCTGCCATTCCACTTACATAGTAACAAACCATCCACATTACCTAAGCATTCCTTCAGCTAGAAGTAAGTTCCACTTAAACAGCTTCTTCCCGCAAACCACTGCCTTATGGAACAGACTCCCAAGAGGATATTTCCCCAATCACTACAATATTAACCTGTTCAAGTTTAGAGCAAACAATTATCTTCCCCCTCCTATCCATATAAACTACCCTTTAACATAACCCTTTACCTTGAGTGGCCCCTGGGGCTTGTACAGGGTGAACCTTACTGCTAAAAAAGAGAAAAGGAAAAAAGTGAACTTGACTGGAATATGAACTCAGCTCTGCAATTTCTCAATCCAATTCGTCATCCATTGCTGCACTGTGCCTCCATATACCTCTATGTCCATCCTAATGGGTTACAGGCATCATGAAAACATGATGATTTACTTGTTGCTGTGTAGACTGGCAGCTTCAATTATTGCAGTGGAAAGCAACTAAAATTCAAATAAAAAAAAAAACAAATCAAAATTAATAAGTTATATATATATATATATATATTAGCCACCCAAAATTTAAAGCAACTGTTAAGGAAGATTCTGGTCAATAATATTCTAACATAAAAGCCCTGCCGGCTACAATTCTGTCCTGTCTCTCCGGTGGTTCTGGCCAAAAAGTAAACCACCCGGTCTTCCCCCGGTGAACTGAAGGTACCACCACCATCCGCCACGTTGTGAATTTTTGATCCAAACAGCAGTATTTCGATCCCTCAGAACAATCTGGAGGTAGGATGAATTAAATGGCTGGGTATTATGCTGAAAGGAAATCACTATTCATGCAGAAAAAAATTTCTTGTCATAGCCGCAAAGACATGAAAAAGAAAAAATAAGCAACTCTTTCGGTTCCTGTACAAAGAGCCCTTTTTAGGCCCCTGTTTTTATGTCACTACCGAAGAATTTACACGAGTACAAAATGTCGTAACAAGGTTCACTTGTTTGGGGTCGGAAATGACAGAGAGAGAGTAGGAAAACTTCTGCCAAAACAATTTCGGCTGATCTAAGGGAAGTAATTTGTGGATCTTTGTCTGCACCCTACGATATAGCAGTCTGCTTTCTCACAACTTTGTTGACGAAGTTATTTGGATTCGTACGGGTTCTATTTCTATCTCTTGTTCAGAACGGTCTTCTTGACGCAGGACAACCAACAGACCAGACCAGCAAATTCCAACAAGCCGTCTCTTCCACGTTCTGCCGCATTCCGATCTCCAATCTCCGATCAGCTTATATAGAGAGAGGTGAAGCTAAACCATCTTTAGGCACCGCTCCAAATTTTAATATGCAAATCGCCTTTGACCACCATGCAAGCTTTTCCAGTCCCCGAAACTCTGTGGGAAGCCAGTTTTCAAGAGGTACTAAAATCGGATTTGGACCTCCTGCTGGGTCTTCCGCAGACAACGTATATTTAAGTTTTACCAAACCCACTTCTCCCCTCTGGCTGAATTCCGCCATTCAGACCACCCAAATGTCCAATTCGCCAAACTTTCACAAACTTTACTTTAACAAATCCGTCTCTTAATCCCTCTGGAATTATTACATTTAATTAACTAATAACTCAACCCCAGAAACAATTATTAAGAGAAAAAAAACAAGAGAAAAAAAAATAAACTTATTTCTGGAATTACTCTGGAATCCCTTCTACCCAAGTAATTAGCACCTTCATCCTAATTCTTTAGCACTGTTGATTACTAAATCCACCTCTTCTCTATGTCACAATATTAACATCCTATATAGGTTCCATTACCGAAAAAACATCTCACTGCGAGAGAGATCTTTTACATAAAACATCTGGTACCTAGTATAAATCTCACCCTATTCAGCAGCAGAAATGGTGTGTTGAGGGTTTTTAAAAATAGAAAGATGCCAACTTGAATTCCAGCCACACTCAAAATCATGAAGCTTGAAATAAATGCTAGTATTTTTCAAACAGCACAAAAATTGCATCTTAAAAAGTCAAACCTGAAAAGAAATTAACAACACCTAAATCAGACCCCCTTGAAGATGGCTAAAGAAATGGCTGAAAGCTCTTGGGATAATGGACAATATCTGCACTCCCTTACTCTCAGCAAATGGAAAAATGTAAGAATGTTGGAAAACTAAATAAAAAATTTGTCAAATTTTACTTGTCTGTCATATTCAATGAAACATGTTTAAAGGATAGGTTCCTGCCCAAATATATATTATATATTCAGAATATGATGATATTAAAAAATGGTATGGAACATCAACATATGCATAATAATTCAAGTTCAGTATATTTGGCAGCAATTGTTCTTGCAAACAAGCCTTTTTAAAATGACTAAACATTTTATATCTATTAAATTTATTGATCATTTTTTTCTTGTATGTTGATAACATTTTGCAAATGTGGCTGTGCTTGAGATATAAAATAGCCAAAATTTATATTTTATAAGTATCTTATATGTCTGTATCTAGTCAAGATCCAAAAAAAACAAATCTAATTAAAACCGTTCTCGCAATACAATGTTACTTCCGATGTGAAACATCAATTTACATTCATTTATACATCATTGATAACAGTCACTACAAGCACATCGTATTTTGTTTAACAATCAAAAGTAAATGCTTTTATTGACCATAATGTTGGAAAATTTGACTTGCAGTTACATAAAAATCACAGATACTGACATGTCTATACCGAAAAACAATATCCTGTCCAGTAGCAGGTGCTGCTGGTGGTGCCAGGGGTGGCAGTACTGCCTTAGCCACAGAAACTTTGTTACCTCCCCTAGTTGGCAGCTGATTAGTGATTAGCTTTCACACATTGTATGTAGAAAATTACATAAATAGTGGGTTTATTTAATTCATGAAATAGTTTTCAAGATGAATCATATAATAGAAAATAAAAGACCTAAAGGACTGCCCATAGCAAAACCTTCTGTCCAGATGTAGATATTACCTAGACAATCACTAAATGGAACATGCTGCTAGTAATTTTTTTTTTTAAATATGTGGGTTGATTTTAAACATAGTAGAGAAGAATAATGATAAATAAATTTTCAATGTCAATTGATTGATTTATTTATTTTTTATGGATTATCAGTTTTTTGCAGGTTAGTTAAAACCAGGAAATATTTTTAGATTGTAAGAATGTTTTGGAAATAATAATGATTTACTGATACAAGTCCTACTAATTAACCCATAGCTGGGGGGAGAAGAGATAGATTTATACGTTTTCAAGAGTATTTGCACATTAATGAATGTATATTCTTTGACTGATTTGTTTTCTATGGCTTATCAACTCTTTGCAGGTTATTTAAAGCCAGAAAATATTTTTACATTGTAAGAATTTTTTTAGAGATAATAAGTTTATTAACTGATAACTGGGTCTGGGGGAGAGGTAGATTCATCCCTTTTCCAAAGGTATTTGCATGTGAGTGAATATAATGAACCCAAGTGGAATTGGAACTCAGCTCTTTACAATTCCAAGCCATTATCCATTACACCATCTGCACATCCAAGCTTACAGCACCTGGTATTCCCAATCAGTCACTCATTTGGTACTGACTAGGTTCAACATTGCTTAACTTCAGTGATTGTATGGGAACCAGTGTTTCAACTTAATATAGTTGTAAATCCCTAGTTTTCAGTGTTTAATTAATATCCATGAAGCATATAAGGATATAAAATGTTTTTTTTACTAATAATTAATTCAATATATTTAATCAATTTTTCAGAGTTTGCTAGGTGAGACTAATTTATTGAGAGAGGTGAGGATTTGCTGAGGAGAGCAGATTAACTCTAATTTGGTACGTGTGATTAAAATTAGATTTAAGGATATATTCTGTTTTTGACAATCTTGAATCTTTGTGCCTACAAAAAAAAAAGCAGAGTGTCAAAAGGATGTTTTTTCCATTGACATCAATATTATTTTAACTTCAATGTTTGTTGTTTTAAAAAGTAATGATTAGAATTGTAATAAAACCTAAACATATGATGAAAGTGAATTTATACACTATTTTGTTCTTGAGAATTTACAGCAAAAATATTAAACATTCTTTATTAGATTGTTCATTTACAATAATAATTTTATATTTACAACATTCTAAAAACTAAAACAATTAAAACTAATGGACAGCAATATTTATCACTTACCAATTTATAAAGAAATAAATGTGAAAACAATTTTTTATTCATAAATATATAAACATTTACTAAATTATTAAAATATGCTAATCAACTATGAGGACATCCTTATTATTTACCATTTTATAAAGTTTAGTTTGATCAGCAATTATCTGATGTTTTGCCAATGATTCCAATAATCTATTTTTGTTATAAATTCTCAAGAACAAAGAAAAAAATGGATAAATTCACTTTCATCATATGTTTAGGTTGATTACAATTTTAATCATGGCTTTTTAAAACAATAAACAATGCTGAGGAGTGAAGGTAGTTATAATAATAGCAGTGTCAAGGGAAAAACTGTCCTTTTGACATTCCATTTTATTGCAGGCACGAAGATCCAAGATTGCTGTGTTTTCATTTTAGATACACTTTGGTGAATTTTTTCAACATTATTGTGATAACAAGTAAATTTTTTGTAGTGACACTAATTAAGTTTAGTAGTTACATTTGTAGTAGTTTGGTAGTTAGACTAATTGTCGAAGAGAAAGAGATAAATAATGTATTATTATAGATGTTACCACTCTAAACACTTTTCCCATAGGAACACTGAATTATCTCCCTTACATTTCCATTGTGGGAAAATTGTTCTTAAGGAGATAATGCTCATTTAGCATCCCACTACCACTTTTTTTTATCAATATCAATTTTTGTACAAATCTGTGCAAAAAGCAGATCACAGAGCTTATTCAGCTTCATGCATATTTTCCAGAAATTTCAACTTCTAATTGGTCACTTAATATTTAAATCATGTTTCTCAACTATGTCTGAATAACATCGACCTAGTTCTTGTCCTGACTAAAAAATAATTCTGCTCAAAATCTGTCAATGCCTTTCGAGCCTGTCACGTGATTAAGTTGATTATAAATACCAGACACGAGTTCATTCTCTCTCTCTTCCTTGATTTCTCTCGCTACAAAATGTAGTTGTAAAAAAGAAATCACATCTCAACACTTGCAGTCGGACACTATGAAACACATTCACAAATGCACAATACATGTACATACAAAACTTTTCAAACTTCATTATGAACATTATATTAAGAATATTCAACTACAAGCAATGCAAACTTAATTACAAACATTAGGGAACATTCACTCCTTCAATTCTTCTAAAGCTAAAAGTTTACTCAACATATTCTCAGCTTTACAGAATTCTTTCAACTCTCTCAAAGGGAACATTTTAAGCGACAAGTTCATTCAACTTTTATGAGCTCAGATAAAAATATTTCATTAGTAAAAACTTTAATTCAGTCAAAGGGACATAACACCAACAAAAACGTAAATCCTACATCTTGTACAGCTTGTACATCATTATACAAATTAACAAATATAAATATTAATCTTGTTGTTATAAAACCCTTTTGTGTTTCTTCTTCTTGTTTCTCTTGTTGCTTTTGCATTTGCTTACACATTCGTAAAGTAAAAAATACATGTTGATTTAGGCCGTCAATACTGCCACACTCACATAGATTTCTTCAGAGCTCTTATTGAGGAGGAAACTGTCGGAAGATCCGAATTTTGTAGCTGAGTGAGTTTGTAGGCCAATGACAGGAATTGCAAGGAAGCAGATCTTAATTAGTTTTTAATAGAGGGCCAACATTCTGTCTTTAGAGCTCAGCAGGTAGATTTCTTTCTTGAAACAAATTTCCAAAGATGACTGGTGTTCTATTGCTGACCTGATGTTCACAGATGATGTCCAGTACTCACTGCCAAAGAGGCATATATTCTCTGTATTTATTGAGATTAGAAGGCTCAGAAATATTGGGAACTTCCCCAGCTCTCATTTGTCAGAAAATATGTTCTTGTCCTTATCTCTGATAAGAATCAAAGTTTTGGGAGCTGCTTTTTGGAAGCAAAGTTCCAACAAGTTGTGAGTGTTAAAATCCCCCCACCCCGACTTTATGGCACCATGGTCAGGGCAAGGATGATCAGATTCCTTTTGATATATTCTAGCTCTCTGGTTTGTCAGAAAATATATTCTTATCTCTGACAAGGATCAAGGCTTTGGGAGCCGGATTTTAAAGCAGGGGGAAAAGTTGGGGGCTAAGATCAGAAAAGAAGTTAGAATGTGAACTTGTAAAACATTGTAGTAGTCATTCTCAAATTAAATTCCAATACCATTTCTTTAACTAACCTCATATTCTAAGCTCACAAGTGAAATGTTTGTATGACTGTTTCTTTATTTCATGGGGATTAATTTATAACAAGAGGGTGCTAAAGGATGAGGTTGCCATTGTGATGAGAAGAAGTACTTTCAAAATAAATGAATTCAACATTTTAAAAAGAAATTAATTCAACACATATACTTTTATATAAAGAACACATAACTCACAAAAGAAGAGAAAGAGAAAAACATATTTACATGTGTACATATAGATAAAAAAAAAGGAAGAAAAGCATTTCCCGTCATGTGCATGTGTGTGATGTCCACAGTGTTTCTTTGGAATTAAGTAGTTGATTTACCTGGAGACTAAGAAGTCTCCTCAGAGGAAGTGTGTTGTTTTACTACTACATCACAGAGCAAAAAGACAAAAAAAAAAAAAAAAGAGTGAATCCCTTCCTTTCATATTGCTGATTGCCATGCCTTCTAGCAGGTATTCAGGCAGAAAAGGTGGGGTAATACCTACAAACCCATCCATGGTCATTGTAAAATCTGATATTAATAATAAAAATTAAAATGATAGGTTTCTAAAAAAAGGAAAAAAATCTGGTATTAATTGTAAGTTTATAAACTAGATTCCTGTCTTAAAAATTGATTTCTACCAAAATATTAATATCAAATTAATAATATAATTATTATAATTAACACACTAATGCCCACAGTACCAAAAATATATGAATGGTTGAGATAAATTATATTGTATTTTGTGTGCTATTTTTCGTTTTAATTCATAAGGCATAACTTTTTAAATCCAGAGATGTCAGAATATGAGGCTGGTTAAACAATATAAGCGAAATGTAAGGGAAATAATTTAGTGTTTACTATGCGAAAAGTGTTTAGGGCGGTAAAATAAACAATAAAAATGATTTGCTTGTATATATTTAATTAATCGAATAATTAGTTCAATCGACTAAAAAGTTAAAAAGAAGTTGTAATTTTAAATTAGAAAAACCCAAAAAATAAACCTCCCTCGGCTCCTCTCAGTAATTCTTACCCGACTTTATTTTACTATTGATTTTTTAATCATTGGATTCTGTATTTGTAAAATCGGCAAAGATTTTGTGTGACGTTCCAATTAGCAATGATCAACCCAATATAAACAAAAAACAAGATGTTGCCAGGTATTAAGAGACGCCTCGTGTTTTTCAAAATTGGCACAGCGTCGTAGCCAAGGAATGAAATATAAATGTAGTAGCCAGCAGCTACAAGGCAAGTCGTGTTAGCAGTCAGAGTGGACATTAAGCTGAAGTGATTTAGAATCCAATCCAAAAAGGTCATTTGGAAAAAATGGAGGATTGTCAACAAAGGAAAATAAGCGTTTAGGTGAATGTCGAAGGCGTAGCCCCATTCAAGATCTTGGCTGAGGCAAGATCGCCTAAGCATGAAATTATTGGCCACGAACCACATAACAGTGGCAATGAGTAATCCGCTACCAATGCAGTCGACAAAAAATCCCCAAAGAATAAATTTAAGTGATCCAAAAAAAGAAAGTTGAAGAACTATTGAAAATCCGATGCCATTTAAGCAAAGCCACAGACTTAATAATACCAAAAAGGCCGGGTCGTCCCTGGAATACTGGTTTCGGGTCTGCTTGCGGTAGTGGAAATTACGGTAAACTTTGCGAGGGTTTACGAACAGGTATATCATTTGCCAGAATGCGTATTGGAAGTCCATTTGGTTGAATTTCAGGAGACGACGGAAATACCTTTTGGTTTTTGTTACAGCTGTAGAGACGGCTTCTTTTCTTGTATTCGTGTTGGCAAAACTGTGGAGAAGGGCGTTCCATGCGAGAAGCCTTTTTTCTTGAAGTTTCTTCGCAAGGGCCGGAGTCAAAAATGATGTTTTAGTAGAGGTGGGTAACTTTTCTTGAGTTTTCGTTACTGTTGATAATGGCATGGCTGGAGAATTACGCACACCTGTGAAACTGTTGCCGTGTAAATAAATAGTATTTATATTTTTAAATTTGATAAACACACATGGAATGTTGTTAGGGGAATGTGAAAATAAAATTCATTAATAATTTGAAATTCATATACTTTTTGCGTGAATGACTGTAGGTATTGTTTTTAAAGTTTTTGTTATAGTTATACGTTTTACTCCGATTTGTGTGCGTAATTAATTTATATTCTGACTTCAAAATTAAAATCTTTTTTTTGGCTTTAAATGTCTTTTTTCACTGAAGTGCTGGTTTCATTGCCTTATCTCTCCACAGCCACGCGCCTCTCTGTTTTTCTTTTTCTTTTGTAGTTGTCATTGTCCACTCTCTTTATT